GGGCCGTAGCATTTAGTTCACTTACAAAGGAAACAGTATCTTTTTTTATTAGGGACATTAAGCAAATCGCTACGGCGACCTCTATTACGGAGGCCTCGTGGTACGGAGTGCTGGGGAGAGTAGGTCACCGTAGCCCACCAAATTTCAACTTTAAAGTGGCTCGACTGGATTTGTTTGGGGGGATACCTCCCAAGTTTGAGCAGTAACTACGTCGGCATTATTGAAGATATGGGAAAAAGGTTACCACAACTGTATCATATAAAGATGACAATTTCTTATGATCCGGGTTTTATTGCAATCGGAGTCGTCATGGCAAAGTAACGACGCCATTACGTTTTTTATTTATCTTTGTGTTTCTCTGTACCAGGTTTTTTTTTTAAGAAATCGCTTAAGGGAGTATGTACCTGCCATAATTGCCTCATATCATGGCAAAGTTTGAACAAATTCTGTGAGAGCGTTTTCGAAATATTTTGAAGCGAAGTTTTAAGAATCATAAAAACAGTGAAATAGCATGCTGTCCACACAACTAGCTAATATTTTCAGAAAATGATAAGCTTTGGAAAAAGAGAGGGGAATTGCTGTGGGCGATCGCGAGTAAGAAGAATTTTATTAACTTGCATTCAGCTGCTTTTGTTACAGTTTTTGGACGTCATTTGGTCCATGCCTACAAAAAAACCGCTCCCTAAATTTTTGTAAAAATTTGACAATCCCGAGATCAATCTTCACTAAATATACCCTGCAAGTTTGAAGGACTTTAAAAACAGGAAAAGCTGTTAAATAGGGCCTCAAATATAACCAATTTTCCCCTCAGATTTTCTGTTTACAAGTGAGCGTCCTCATTATTCACTGGCATTGTTTTCAAGTTTTCAATTCTCTATTTTTTTTGTACGCAGTTTTCAATGGAATCAAACCACTATGAGATGAAGCTGCGTTTCAAAAGCTTATCATTTTCTTAAAAATATCAGCTAATTGTGTGGATAGCATGCTATTTCACTGTTTTTATGACTCTTAAAATTTCGTTTCAAAATGTTTCGAAAACGCTCCCATTGAATTTGCTCAAACTTTGCAATAATTGCGGCAGTTATGGCGGGTACATACTCCCTTAAGCGATTTCTTAAAAAAACTCCTGGTACAGAGAAACACAAAGATAAATGAAGAACGCAATGGCGTCGTTACATTGCCATGGCGACTCCGATTGCAATAAAACCCAGATCGGCCACCCAGATCATGAGAAATTGTCATATTTATTTAATACAGTTGTGGTAACCTTTTCCCGGTATCTTTACTCATGCCGACGTAGTTAATGCTCAAACTTGGGAGGTATCCCCCATAAAAAATCCAGACGAGCTTCCTTCGCTCAATCACTTTCGCTGTTAGTAAAACGCAGGGAAGACGTAATTACTGGAAAACCAGACTGGGCGTCAAAGACTTTCTCTTGATAAAGTGAAAAACAATCTATCTTGGGTTTTCAAACCAGTGATTATTAAAAGTACGAGAAAAGTCGAACTTTATACTCACGTAGTAGCGACTACGCCACAAGACAGGTCTTCACGTTGAAGGATTTGGCGCTACTGCGTCGTTTATGAGCTATTTTACTTCCGGCCACCGTGGTAGAGGTCGCCGTAGCGATTTGCTTAAAGTCGCCTACACGGACACGGAAGGGGCCATAGAAATTTTACCTATTTTAACGGGGTGTCTGTATTAAGAGGGATAAAGCGGGATTTGACTGTATAGTTAGTTGTTTGCTTGTTTGTGTTTTTTTCTTAGATTGTTAAATTCAGTTCCGACTTTTTCGATAGTTGTTTCAGTGCATACGATTATTTGGGTGCTACTATGGAAAAATTGTATTTAGTGCACAATCAAAGTGCCCATAAGTACACACTACTAAAAGAACTTTTACGAAAAAAAAATTGCGAATTGAAGAAAACGTGTTTTTTTAACAAAGTTTTTAAGTGTGATGCTTTAATGTCTACGTTAAAGTAGTCTCGTCACTTCTCTACCTCCGGTTTTTCTCGGTGGGTGAAACTAAAACCGAAAAAACCGGATGCTCTCGCGGGCTAACGTTCAAGGTGCTACTATAAGAAAAAATGTATTCTGTTGCAGATGGAGTGAATTCCAAAATCGAGTGAGTACAAAGCATATTGACGACTTTGGCCTGTCACATTTTTCCTGCACAGTATTTAACAAATACAGCATGACAAACCACTACGAGACTCCACCTCAGGTTTGTCTAAACGGAGAGTTTTACAGTCAGTATTTCCTGGATTACATAACTAAAGTTTACGCCGCCATGAACAGAGACAAAAAGGCCAAATCGATGCTGTCCTTTATGCACTTTAACACTGGACACGAGTATACTGGGGTACGAATGATCAACATGGATGCCAACTTGGCAAAGTTCTTGAATAATATAGTTCAGAGCCCTGACACTCTTACTGTGATATTTTCCGACCACGGCAACAGGAATACTCAGTATAGTTATACTGAGGAAGGGAGAAGAGAGACTTTTGATCCAATTCTGTTTATGATAATTCCAGACCAAGTGGCTGAAAAGCTCGGCCATCAGCGAATGACGGCCCTGGTTGAAAACCAAAAGCGTCTCTTTACGTTGCTGGACCTACATAGAGCACTCGTGTCTTTAAACCATCCTGAACTAATGAACTCCCAGAATTCCACGGCAGTAGGGATATTTTCTGTTTTACCAGCAAACCGCACATGTGCAGATTTGCAGTTGATGCCGCTGACCAGGTGCAAGTGTGAAGGGTTCGACGATTATAGTCGGGCAGAAGACAACTCAAAAAACCACAAATGGCTGGCGGAGTTTGCACTCGGGACCTTAAATGATGCCATACAGACACAACATTTAGGAGGTACATGTAATAGTGAACTTATTTAATAAGCAACTACAACGACGAGGTCAGGGTAACGTCACTAAAAAGTAAATTTCATTCTTCAAACTCGTAATTATTCTGCCTGTGACAATTTCCATTTTCCTGCAGATTAATTGTTAAAGTAGTGCATTCAAGTTTATATGGTGAAAAGAAAATTAGCTGTAGTGTAATCACGTCCGTTGTTAAACGACTAACTAGCAAATTTCATTTCTAATTTGGGCGGAGGAAACCAAAGAAACATACCCGCAAAAGTGTGATGGACTGGCAAATCTTCTTTTGCCAGAAAAAAAAATTGACGTTACAGCCTCTTATTAGTTTAGGTAGCGGCCCGAAGTCATTCACTCAACTCGTAGAAATCGCCAAATTGTTTTGAAGGTCAAAGAAAACGATCTTTACGCCGGGGAGAGCAAATTGTAAACATTCAATTCTCCACTTACAGTGGTGATAAAAGACACCATGGTTTGGTCTAAAAGGGTAGTAACGAGCGAACGTACCTACCTGTTATAGAGACGACTTACCCAAAAATTTAGGACAAAACCGTCCGAATTTTGCAAAAAGTACACTTTCGGTTGATGTGTGTAGCTCAAAATCGTCTTTCGAGCGGTTTCCGTTCGTTTTTTACAGGTGCTGGTGAAATTGTAACCTCGTCTCAAAGGTATGGCTATGGAAACTGTCAGCGCTTGGTGGGGAAATCATTTACTAATATTCTGCAACGTTTCCAAGGAGGCTACATCTTGACGACAATGGATCTCCACGTGGTCCCTTCAGCTGGTTTTACGGAAGACGAAGTCTTTAAAGTTTCCTTGAAAAACTATGCAAAGCCGGAAGACAAAGTTTGGTTGACAAGTTATACTCGGCAGTCCAGATATAGCAAATTTGAGGCATGCGCAGACAAGTCAGTTGACGTTAGACTTTGCGCATGCGCTACTGATCAAACTAATGTTGCTGAACCAGTCAGCAATGGGGTTCCAAGTAAAATGTTTGGTTCGGAGACCGTTGTAAAAGACCTCCACTTAGGATGTCTTTTATTTCTGAGAAGGGATCACGGATCAACCTCTTTAGCGTTGGAAGTAGCAAACGTATGTCACAATAGCACTTACAAATTTAAACTGGACGGTGGAGGATCAGAGAGACTGTTTTCTAAAACCCTTCCCATAAATGTTGAATTGCTACCCAGGACATTTTATTTTCTAACATCCATTACGAAGTATGCGTCGAAATTCACCTATCAATTACATTTTACAGCAAGTGTGGAAGTTAAAAATGACAATTCAGAAGATTTTATAAACTTAGGAGAACATGACATGTCTGAGTAACTAACAAGAACAATAAATCAGACTATTTTTCAATAAGTTTACTCATCGTACGGCATAAAAGCAGCCTTTTAGAGTGATTTTACTTAACCCGTGAAGCAGGTAGTAGAATACTACCCACTATTATGCGCCAATTCCATTGTCTTCTTTTGTTTACCTCTTGTTATTTTGCAGTAGTTTTTATTATCTGTTTTACGGTTCAAGTAAAATCACTTTATTTTGTTTCTCAACTATGCAAAATAAGAATATTTATAAAATAGGAATCTAACATTTATTTTTTAGAACATGATAGCTGCTGGTTCAAGCTTTCAGTTTTAAGAAGGTTTCTTTAAACTCTTTGTGAACGTGTGGCGCGGGGCTGTGCTTTTAAAGGAAGAAAAGATTGAACACGAAAGTGGCCAAGATTTGTTAAAAGGGATAACAGAACCTACAACCGTAAGGCCGGTAGTCTCTCTATATTTCCTTCCTAAAACTCCTCAAGTGACGCGCTTCAAGTTGAAAAAAAAAAAAGAAAAAAAAAAACAGATAATCGACGGAGAGCAAGCCTGGAAGTAAGAAACGCTCAAAACGTTTCTTAGCTAAGCTTCCTTTTTTTTTCTTAAGCTCAGTTCTGCCTCATTATTGTTTGTGCTTCGGCTCCAGCACAAACACAACCCTATCATTACTAGACAAACTGACCCGTGTAATTAACGTTTGCATGTCTTGTTGTGAAAACAATGGACGGTTTTCTGCGGGAATGTACCACATGTTACTGAACAAAGCAAACTCGCCGGTCCTACAGGAATAATTTGAGGCACAGGTACGTTCTTTCTTGTCTTATTTGTTTAAATGAAAACAGTTTTTTAAAATTCCTTTTTAACCGTCGTTTTTTAACATGCGTAGGTTTCTTAATGTGATATATGCTGACCGTGGCAATCCAAATACACAGTTCAGTTACACCCAGGACTGAAGAGGCCCTTATGGAGTTTATAAGAATTCATGACGGAGCTGCAGACAAGCTTGGCCAGTAGAGAGTCAGCTGGGAAGAATGGTGGCACTGGTTGAAAAGCGCCTCTGCGTAAAACGGAAGTTTTAGTTTCTCGTTATCTTTCTTCACTTAACAGAAAACAATCTTTTGACTTCTTTCTTGATGTCGTGTTTTAACAGCGCATAGGCAAGTGGGTTAACGGCTGAGTTGGTGATAAACAGAAGGCAAAGAGCATATTCAGTGTGCATAGTTTTCTGGAAAGTACTCAAATATGTTCGAAGATCTAAGAAAGAGTCTGTGGCGTAACAGATCACATTAACAAATACCACGACCATCATAAATCTCGCAGAGGAAATTTCTACTCCTTGTTTACGTTTCTTGAGAGTCATCGGATGATTAAACTGTAACTGAAGGGCAAGGGCCGCCATCATTTTGGTGTGTTTATACGCGATGTAAAACATTTTTATAGTGGCAAGAAGCAGGAATATACACGGCAGTAGCGGAAACACGAACACCCTTGAAATTTTAAAAGTAATGAATATATCTTCAGAAGCAAGCTGTTTGACAATGACAGCGATAAGAAAATAGAGCACTGCGGGAAAAAGCCAGCCGAGGACCACCATAGCAACGATGCGTCGTGACGTCATGATAGGAACATACTTGAAGGGCATCACTATGGCAACATAACGGTCAACAGTCATGACACACAAGTTCGTCAACGAAGCGAAAGCGAAGTAAGCAGCGAAGATCTGTCGGAGTTCTCGATCACATGGCAGGTAGAATTCGCAAGTGAAAAATGTTGGGAAATAAGTTAAACCAAAGCAAAAATCAGCAATAGCCAGGGACATGATAAAAAGATTTACTTGTGTTTGGAGACGCCGGTTGGTGGCGATGAGATAAATCACAAGCGTATTTCCTGAAACTGCTACGACGGTTAAAATCCAGCCTGGTACCCAGACCCAAGGTAAAGGATCGGCTGAAAACGTTGCTAGATTGACTGGAGGCATGATCTATCCTGTAGACGCCGCCTGTTTTGGCTCAGATTCGATTCAGATTCAGAATTGTAGCACCACCAAATATTCACTGCTTAAATTGCTCAGAAAAGCCAATGCAGCAGCCATAAAATAAGGTTTTTGACGTCATCTTGGTAACACCAATTCTCGTGACGTTCACATTTGTACGCCATATCTCATTTTCTTACGCAATTGCTAAACAAACTTTTGCTTCCTGTCGATTGTAGATATTCTTTGTGGGTTTGCGTGGCTTATAAAATAAGTTACCGGGCTAAATTGTCGTGAACAACTGTCTAATAAAATTGGTTTAAGGATTTCGCTTTAAGATGTGGCTCACACGTATAACGTTAATTGGCTTCTTCAAGGTTAAAAGAGACACTAAGTAAATAAGCATGAAGCATAGATGTCGTATTAAGCTTTCACTTTCCTAGTTTTATCGTTGATCCAGGTGTTTCAGACGTAAAATAGATCATCATAAGACATTGCGCAACATTAAGGTTTTGTTGGAAATTCTCTTCACCAATACGGTGGCAGACATTTATTGTTATTTAGGGAATAATGTCGGAAAAATGAAAACAGTTTTTTCTTGTTTTTTTTTTCTTTTAACAATGTACAGTATTTTTTGAAAATAAAAGTAAAGCATTTTTGCAAAACACACGAAAGAAAGGGCTTATACTCCTGTAGCTACTAGTTGAATACCTTTAATTCCCTGAAATAGAATTGGACAATTCGAAAAATGAAGCACTTAGTTCAACTGAAATAGAGACTTTCCTCATTGAAAGAAATACTGTGTGCTTAGCGACTTCAAATTGCATACGACACCTGTCGGAAAGCAAACATGGAAATACGGCGAGTCCTAAAGCATGAAGCGATTGCACCGGTAGATTTAAGAGAAGAGGCGTAAATTCCTGTTCATTGGATAGAAATTGTTCGCCACTGAATAGAAAAAACGGCGCCTACGACAGCTTGTTGCCTTAGTATACGTATAAAACTAGGAACCTTTACACTATTTTTCCCCTAATTAACATTGTAATTTTAGTTGTCGCAGACCACTCCAGCCGTTATTAGCGACCTTTAGATTTGGTTAGCCTGAGTTATGTCCTCGCATTCAGTGTTCGTTCCATAAAGCCTCGAGAATGGGAAATGCATGTGTCCCACTATATAAAAAGGACGAAATTTCGTAAACAAATGTTGCCATTTTTTAAAAGCTGGGGAAAATTAGAGACATTTGTTTTACGAAAACAACTAATTATAGTACAAGATCATCAAGTGTGTTTTTTTGTCTGCTTTGAAGGGTCAAATAGATGGATTGTTTGTCATTTGCATGACTCAGGCTTTTGCTTTTGCTCACTACAACAGGTTCACACTTGTTTAATAGTTCCTACTTAGCATCATAAGCACGGGTACGAAAGAAATAAACTACAAAATTCTCTTCAACGGTCTATGCAAAGAGTTTGCGAGAGATTGAGACAATTCTGGCGTGAGTAGTTATAAAATTGCCCATATTAGTTTGCGCAATATCAAGCCGTTGGTTCGGTGACGACTTCCCTAATGAATGATAAATAGTATTAAGATATTACTTGAGGCATAACCACGAGGTTTAAGCATGCGTAATCGTACTAATCTAGTATTAGTAGTCCGATATTAAGGCCTGTATTAACTACTTCGCTTTTTAACTATCAATATTGTTTTTTCCATAGTAACAGTAATGAAGGTTTCATATGCATGATAACTCTCCACTGTCTGTTTTCGTGTGAAAAACAATTAAGAAACCACCTAAATCATTTTAGTTCGCGGGTAGATAATTTCAAGTTTGTTCTTCAAGACCCAGGGTGTTTACCATTTCCACAAACCACCCGCATGGATATCTTGCGCATAAACATGAAACTGTAAAAATTGACTTAAGCTGAACAGAACAAAAAGAGTGGAAAAATTGCATCGCCTGATTTCATGGGCACCCAACGTCAACTTTCGGAAAATATCTGTTCGGAAGACGCTTTGAGATCTAGAATTTTCGGAACATTTTTTGTAAAATTTCTTGCTTGCCTGCCTCTCCTAGGATTTTCGAACATCAAAAAATGGCATAATTGCCCCTTTTTAACGGATTTTTATCCTCAAAAGATCACCTAGAATTTTCGGGAGCCTTTTTTCTGGCTGAATTTTTTGAAAAGGTAAGTTTTGATCCCTATAATTTTCGGATCACTAAGACTTTCAGCTAGGAAATCGGAAAAGATGAAAAACTTTTAGGGGATAAAAATATGCCTATACCTACCGTTTAAATACTAAGATACATTTAACAATGCTATGTTTAAGTGGTTTTGAACTATATTCTCGTTGGGTGTCCCTGTGAAATCGCAGCCAATATTTTCTGAAGCTTCCCAAGTGGACTTGCGCGAACAATTTAATTTTCCAACCGGAATTTCCGGTTTTCCAATAGTTTGAGTATCTGGCCTTCCTAAGGGGCTTGGGAAGAGGAGATATTACATGGGGAAGGGGGGAGGGGGGAGAAGGTTTCTCTCCTTCAGCTCTCTCACTTTTTCGCTTCCATCTTGATAGCCTGATACTCAGGCTTGTTTTCTAACGTAAATGGTAAGTACCTCCAGTAAAACGGAAGTTTTAGTTTCTCGTTATCTTTCTTCACTTAACAGAAAACAATCTTTTGACTTCTTTCTTGATGTCGTGTTTTAACAGCGCATAGGCAAGTGGGTTAACGGCTGAGTTGGTGATAAACAGAAGGCAAAGAGCATATTCAGTGTGCATAGTTTTCTGGAAAGTACTCAAATATGTTCGAAGATCTAAGAAAGAGTCTGTGGCGTAACAGATCACATTAACAAATACCACGACCATCATAAATCTCGCAGAGGAAATTTCTACTCCTTGTTTACGTTTCTTGAGAGTCATCGGATGATTAAACTGTAACTGAAGGGCAAGGGCCGCCATCATTTTGGTGTGTTTATACGCGATGTAAAACATTTTTATAGTGGCAAGAAGCAGGAATATACACGGCAGTAGCGGAAACACGA